CAAGAAATGCAATTACCACCTAAAAATGTGCAAAAACTAGTGGTTGACAATGGACAACCAACCCAATTAGCATTTGAAAAGCCATATAAATCTAATGTACTTTGATTAGAAATATGCATGCCATAATCTAGTGTGTTGCCAACATAACGCAAAACACGTTTAACTAATTGGAGGTGATCTAAGGTGGAAGCATGCATGAATTGTGAAACATGATTTATTGCAAAGGAAAGGTCAGGTTAGTAATGGTTAGGTATTTCAACCCTCCGAGGTGGGATTGGAGAAATCTTTAGTTTTTTATGATCAAGCCTTTATGGCTATAGGTGTAGACATGGGTTTACATCCTACCATTTGCACCATTTGAAGTAGCTCACAAGTATATTTAGATTGGCATAGGAAAAGGCCAGACTTGTTAAAATGCACCTCAATTCCAAAAAAATAGTGTAGGTTCTCGAGATCCTTGATAGTAAGTTCTCGTGCAAGTTCACTAATGCACCATTCAATAAGGATTAAGTTGCTTCCTGTAAGAATCATATCATCTGCATATATGAGTAAAAGGAGTGTACCTCAATGATTGTGGTATATAACCAAAGAAAGATAAGCAAAGCTACAAGAAAAACCCAATTCTAGTAAGAATATACTCAAATGATCCAACCAAATGCGAGGAGCTTGTTTTAGGCCATAAAGAGCTTTTCAAAGATGGCAAACATGTGAAGGATATCAATCGTCAATAAAGCCAAGGGTTGCTCTATGAAGACCGACTTGGAAAGATTTCCATGAAGGAAGGCGTTTTTAAAATTGAGTTGTTGGATACTCCAATCCTTTACAGTGGCAATTGTGAGTACCACTCGAATGCTGCTAGGTTTTACAACTGAAGAGAGTTTCAAAAAAGTCTACACCATCAAGTTGATGAAAACCTTTTGCTACAAGTTATGCTTTCAACCTATCTAGAATTCCATCTGATTTTAATTTTGTCTTGAATACCCATTTGCTACCTATTATGTTCATGTCCTTTGTGTGAGGTACAAGGTCCCATGTATGGTTTTCCTTAAGAGAAGACAACTCCTCATGCATAGCCTTCATCCAACTTGGATGTTGCAAGTCTGACTTAATGGATTTTGGGTTAGTCGGAATGAGTGAAGCCTTGGAATGGACTTGTAGGGCAATATATTTTGGGTTTGGTTTGCAAATTCCTCATTATGACCTTGTGATCATGGGATGAGAACGTGGGCTTGGGCTATTCTTTATTGGGTTTGTAGCTTGAGTTGGAGTCATGCTTAAATCAAAAGTAGATATTGAGGCATCGTTGTCTTTATTACCTCTCTCCTCTTGTTGCTCAGTATTGGCAGTATATGGTGCACTATGGTCTCCAATAGCAGTAATTGGATTGACAATACAAGTACATGGCCCCCATCGTCATTAGCTAGAGATGGCTCTTAACTTATAGCAGTTGATTGTGTAGGACCCATGTAAGTTTTAAAATAGACAGAATCCATAGCATCTATATTTTCTACAACAGGAAGCAAAGATATATCAATATCTTTAGAGGCAAGTGATTCATTAAAATTTGTAATTTCTCCTTCAAATAATTGTTTCCCATATAAAGCATTTGGATCTACAAAAGGGAAACAAGTTTCATAAAAAATCACATGTCTTGACACATAGATCTTTCCTGTTGATGGTGAAAGACACTTGTATCTTTTGTGCTTCATATTGTACACCATGAAAATACAAGGTATTGATTTGGGGTCAAATTTATTTCTTTGATAATCCCAAAGATATGGGAAACATTGCATCCTAAAACACAGAGTCAAGTGTAGTCAAGATGTTTCCCATATAACTTAAAAAATGGAGAGTTTGTGTCAAGACATGGTGAAGGGAGCTTGTTTATTAGGAAAATAGCAGTAGAAAATGCATCAATCTAAAATTTTACGAGTAACTTAGCATGGATCATAGTTAAGCCTAATTCTGTAATATTTCTATGCTTTTGTTTAGCCAAACTATTTTGTTTTGACATTTTTGGACATGCAGATTGGTGGCATATCCCAAAACTTGCTAATAATTGTAACATATTTTTATTAGCAAATTCTCCACCTTCATTTATTTGCAGTATTTTTATTTTCTTACCAAATTGACAGTCAACGTATTTATGGAAATGATTAAAACATTTTAAAAAATAAATTTTTTTTTCCTCATAGGGTATAACTAAGAAAAACAAGTAACTAAAGCCATCTACAAAACTAACATAATAGCAAAAACCTTCACTAGACTTGAAAGGTGCAGGTCCCCAAAGATCACAACTGATTTTTTTGAAAAGGTTCATCACATGTATCATCCGTTTGTAAGAAAGGAAGTCTAAATGTCTTTCCCATTTGATAGCTACCACATATTTCATCGAAATCTCTAATAGTATTAAAATCAATAAGTTTCTTCCGAAAAGGAAAATCAATGATACAATATTGAGGGTGCCCAATCTTTGGTGCCATCCCTTTTTATTGGTCTTCCTAAAATGACTTGAGAAAAATGCTATATATCCATCATCCAATGCATATAGCCCTCCTTTCCTTCTACTTGTGGCAGCTATTTTTTTTGGAAAATCTGTACATGATAACAAATACATTGTCAAACTCAAAAATGCATGGTAAATCATTAATGAATTGACTTACTAAAACTAAATCTTTTTTTATTTGTGGAACCAAGAGCACATTTTTAAGAGGAATATTATGATCACCATAGTTTATATGTGAATCACCAACATGTGTTATATTTACAGTCTCACCATCATTTCCTTTATAAGTTTTTAAATTTATAAGCTTACCAAAGTTGCTAGTTGTGTGAGCCTCGACTCTGGTATCTAGATACCACTCAGCCACATCATTCTAATTTATAGTCATTGCCACTAAGGCTTGAGGAATGTTATCAACTTGATACACATGATTGAAGTGATTGAAGCATTTGAGAGCAACATGACCATGCTTGTTGCATACTGGACAAACCATATTAGGTCATTTTTCAATTTCCTTTCCACTAGCCTTAGCTTCAGTGCTTCCCGAATTCCCTGCATTAAGCTTAAAACCAACACTTGACTTGTTGTTAGTGCTAGTTTGAACAGAACCTTTCCCTTTTGGATTGAACAAACTCTGGCCATTTCCTTTCTTTTTGTAGTAATAATTTCTCCATTTTGATTTTTATGTAAGTAAAGCCATTTGAGGAGGTGGGGCATTATGGTGATGGTGATAGTTACGTGATTCATGGCTTTTTAGGAGAGGGATAAGTTCTTTGTATGATGGAATAGGTGGTTGAAGCATAATTGTAACAAAGTTTTCATAACTTGGTCCTAACTCCTATAAGAACCAATAAACTTTGTTTTTTTGTCAAGAATTGTCTTACCAATGGTAGAGAGTTCATCACAAATATTTTTAAATTTTCTAATATACTCATTTAGAGTATCATCTTCCTTCTGAATACTTGAAATCCCTTGCATCAAATGAAACTCCCAATCTTGAGAGCTTTGTACAAAGTGATCCTCTAGTGCCTTCCAAACTTTTCATGAAGTCTCGAGGCCAACAACAATTCTAAGTACCTCTTTAGATAAGTTATCATAATCCACCCTTGAAGAAGACGATCAGACAGTCTCTAAGCTGCATAAGTTGGATTTGGTACTTCCTCTTCATTTGAAAGTACATTGGGTTTAGGCATCTGATATTCCCTATTGATAAATCTCAACAACTCTTGACTTTCAATCAAAGCCATCATTTGGGTTTTCCAAAGAAAATAGTTATTTGAAGTAAGTTGAAGGGGAAAAAAAGGTAGCCACATTCAATGTGGCAGGATATCGGTAAGGTGGTGTTGACTGGGAACGAGCTAAAGGAGCCATTGTTTGCTTAAAGGGTAATCTCTTTCTTTTCTTCATCGAGTAGCTTTGATCCCATAAAAACCAATGTCGGCACACACTATTTTGAAACCATGCTCGAACCAACTGGTTTAACTAGAAATAGTTTTAAAAGAGACCAGATAATGATATTGGCTTGGTATTAGTCAAGTTCGATCAAATTTGGTCAAAATCAGGTCAAACCCAATTGATCAGATGTAGTAATTATAATTTTTTTTATATATTTTTACATTTTTTTCTTTAATTTTATTATATTTATTTAATTTATAGATGATGTAATAATAAAATTATAAAATTTATTTAAAGTCGAATTACTATTAATAAATGAAAATTTTAAAATTAATTTAAATGTAATTTGAATCAATTTTAAAAAAATAATATTAATTTAAAATTAAATTACTATGTCAAATTAGAGGGTGAAATTAATTTAAAATCAATTCAATTTCAAAAATAAATCAATGACTATTTTGGTGAATGAAATAAATAAAAATAATTTAAAATTAAATTAATCTTAAGCAATTTTGAAAATAAAATTAATAAAAGGACAAAATAATTTTATACTTAATATGTTATCAATGTTTTATATGGCTAATAAAGAAAAAATATATTATTATTTTAATAAATTGAGTGAATGAAATTAATTTGAAATCTATAAAATTTGAAAATAAAGTTTTGAAAATTAATAACTACTTTATTCAAAAAATATAAAAATGGTTTCAATCAATTTTAAAAATAAAATCAATTAAAGTAAAAATAATTTATAATTAATAAAATAAATTTATTAATATTTATTAAGTCAATCAATTAAATTGATAAATCAAATCAAGCCAACTGGTTGAACCTTCTTAATTACTAAAACAAGTAAATCAACGAATTGGGTTTTAAAACATTCGGTTCATAAAAGGTTCCAGCTCAATATGAACACATGAATTTCCATGTGGCAAAAATCTCATCCTCCTATAACTAGGGATGGAGGATAAGTGGGGCTAGGGGGGCCATGGCCCCCCTAAGTTCTTGAAAAAAATTTATATATGTCCTGTAGTCTTAGTTATTTATAAAATTATTTAAATATCTATTTAAAAAAAACCATAATTCTAGCTGTGCTCGTTGGTTTTTGTTTTGTTTTTTCCTTTTCTCAAGTCTTTGGTAACTTTAAAATTACTCTATTTTTGTATAACATACAATAATACAAGTTCAAAGTTTACATAAATCAATTTATAAGTTTTCTACTTCATAATTCTAATTTTTGGGTTTTGAATTGGAGGCTTGTCAAGATACTGTACTTTGTAATTTTACGTTTACTATATTTTGCATAATATACAATAATATAAATTGAGATTCAAAATTTACGTAAATTACCTTATGAGTTAAACTTAGATCAACTTATAAGTTCAAAGTTCAAAGTTTTTTTGTTTTTTTCTTTCTAAGAATGATTAGCTCTTTTCTTTATTTACTGCAAAAAAAAAATCCAAAAATAGTAAATACATTTCGGATAGATGCTCAAGGCAATAGGTCAATCAATTGTAAATTCAAAATTTGAGTAAAATGAAACAAAACTTCTCCAAAATTGATAACTCGCATGCCAAATTCTAGAAAATGACAGGAAAAAATCAGAAATGGAAGAAAGGAAAAAGAGAAATGTCACGAGGGTCCATTTTTAGTTTCTTATTAATTAAAGTAGTTAAAGATTTCATTATATAAAATGTATATGTATGATATAGTTTATATTATTTTATATTTAGATATATGTTACAAGTAATAATTTTTTTTTTTACTTTTATTTAACTTATAATAAATTTTAGTAAATAATAATTACTTAATGATGAAATTATGTTAAAAATATTATATACTTATATTTACGGGTTATCAAAAAAAAATTTTTTGGTTCCCAAAACATTTTACTCAAGCTTCGTCCCCACTATAGCTAGCCGTGGGATAGCAATTAACTTTGTTGAAATGGTGGAGTGTTGCATGCAGATCTCATTTAATAAGGCATACAACCTATCCACCAGTGGTTGGGTTTAGGGATGGCGCGGGGAACCCTTTCTCATTTAATGAAGCATAGAACCTATGCACCAGTGATAGGGTTTAGGGATGGGGCGGGCAACCCTTTCTCATTTAATAAAGCATAGAACTTATGCACCAGTGATAGGGTTTAGGGATGACGCGAGGAACGCTTTCTCATTTAATAAGGCATAGAACCTATGCACCAGTGATAGGTTTTAGGGATGACGCGGGGAACCCTTTCCCATTTAATAAAGCATAGAACTTATGCACCAGTGATAGAGTTTAACCCTTTCTCATTTAATAAGGCATAGAACTTATGCACCAGTGATAGGGTTTAGGGATGACGCGGAGAACGCTTTCTCATTTAATAAAGCATAGAACTTATGCACCAGTGATAGGCTTTAGGGATGACGCAGGGAACCTTTCTCATTTAATAAGGCATAGAACCTATGCGCCAGTGGCTGGGTTTAAGGATGGCGCGGGGAATCCCTTAACGTCCTCGTCTCTATTAATAGCAGGTACGGAAATTTTCGTGGGAATTTTTGGTTGGGACTAGGGACAAAAAATATTTTCTGTGGAGGATGATAAGTTTCTGTGAGATGCGAAATTTTTTTGTCAAATATTTTAAGGATGGCAACGGGTCCCCACGGGGTCGGGGACCCCCTCCCCATCCCCATCCCCACCAATGGCGGGTATGGGGATCCCCACGGGGATTTTTGGCGGAGGGTCAAAAATTGCCTCCGTCCCCATCTCCGCGGGGAATAATAGGTCCC